TTTCGGGCGTTTTTGGTGCATTTTTGGTGCATTTCGGGCGTTTTTGGTGCATTTTTGGGTATTTTTGATGCCCCGCCGCGTTTTTGGGCTATTTTTGGATGTTCCGATGCGTTTTCGGGGCGTTTTCGGGATGTTTCGTGGCGTTTTTGGGCTGTTTTGGGCTCTTTTGGGGCGTTTTTGGGGTATTTTTGGGCTGCTTCGTTGGGCTTTGGGGTATTTTAATGTTCTGCGGCGTTTTGGGGGCAATTTTTGGGTTTTTCGGCGCGTTTTGGAGGCGCTTTCGAGGCGTTATAAGCCACTGGGGGTTGCTATGAAGGTTTTTCTCGCATTTTTAACTTATTTCCAAAAGATTTTGGGGCATTTTGGAGCTTTTTGGAGGAAGTTCAGGGGAGCTCGGAGGAATTTGAAGTTGTTTTGAAGGTGTTTCGTTGCATTTTTGGGGGTATTTTTGGAGGTTTTGGTGCATTTTGGGGTATTTTCTGGATATTTTGGTGGATTTTGGGTTATTTTGGGATATTTCGGTGCATTTTGCTGCATTTTTGGTGCATTTTGGGGGTACTTTCGGGGTGTTTTGAGCCATTTGAGGTTGTTTTGAAGGGTCTTTGGCATTTTCGGGTATTTTGGTGCATTTTTGGTTAATTTTTGGATACTTCTGTGCATTTTGGTGTACTTTTTGGATGTTTCGGTGCATTTTGGTGTATTTTTCATATTTTTGGTGCATTTTTGGGCTATTTTTTGGCTGTTTTGGGGTTTTTTTGATATTTCAGTGCAATTTGGGGGTATTTCTGGATATTTCTGAGTTTCGGGGGTATTTTGGACATTTCAGTGCATTTTGGGATAGTTTTTGGATATTTCTGTGCATTTTTGGGCTATTTTTGGGCTATTTTGGTGTACTTTTGGATATTTCAGTGCATTTTGGAATTGTTTTTTGATATTTCTGTGCATTTTGGTGTATTTTTTGAATATTTCTGCATTTTGAGGGTATTTCGGACATTTCAGTGCATTTTGGGATAGTTTTTGGATATTTTTGTGCATTTTCGGGGTATTTTTTGACATTTCGGTGCATTTTGGGGGTATTTCTGGATATTTCTGCATTTCGGGGGTATTTTGGATATTTCAGTGCATTTTGGGGATATTTTGGGATATTTCTGTGCACTTTGGGTTATTTTTTTGTCTATTTTTGGATATTCCTGTGCATTTTGGGGTCTTTTTTGGCTGTTTTGGGGTACTTTGGGCTGTTCCTGTGCATTTTTGGGGTACTTTGGGATATTTCAGTGAATTTCGGGGGTACTTTGGGATATTTCAATGCATTTTTTGGCTATTTTTGGGCTGTTTTGGGGTACTTTGGGCTGTTCCTGTACAATTTTGGGGCACTCTGGGGCTGCTCCCGAGCCCCGGGCAGGTTTTGGGGTGCTCATGTCCCCTTTTGGGGTGCCCCTGTCAGGTTTTGGGGTGCCGGGGCAGGTTTTGGGGTTCC